AACAGAACAGAACAGAACAGAACAGAACAGAACAGAACAGAACAGAAATTACCTTGGTTGTCCCACATTTAAGCTGTTTACCTGGTTGAGGTAGAAGTAGTCTTCAGGTTGTTTGAGCTTAAATTCTTTGCGCTCTTCCTCACTGACTCCAAGTAACAAATAATAGAACACATGGTAGTTTCTATGGATCAAAATTAGGAAAAAATATTTTTATAGTTTAAAAAAAATCACCCCAGTATTCCTTTAGACTTTTCATGTAAACCAACTATGAAAATGCCAGTTATGCTTTTAAAAACCTCCTTTGCGGGGGGAAAATGCAAACTTAAAAAAATGTTTTCAGAGCTGAGTTTAGCAAGCATGATATTTGGAAGTTTTTTTTCTTTCCCACAAGCGCGTTGTTACTTCAGAAAACTTCCCTAATAAGGAGAGAGATAGTCTTAGCTCACTGTGTTTGTAACAGAACGTAGAAGATTTGCAAAGGGCCCCGCATGAAAACACTCTGCTGAATTCCCAAACTAGCCTTTTCCTCTTACAGATATTAGCAGAACAACCACACACTCTCTCTCTCTCTCTCTCTCTCTCCCCCCCCCCCCCATTCCCACCCCCCAAACACTCTCTTCATATATCACTTCAGGATAATAGTCTTACCTTTCATCCTTTTCTTGAGACACCAGGCGAGATTTTTCAAGCAGATATTTTTCAACAACAGCCCTATCATTAAAAAAAAACAAAACACATTTTCCATAGCAGAACAGGGTAACTTGTAACTATTAGAAAGAGCTACAAATTAAATTAATTATTCAAATATGTTGTCTTTTTCATACAATGTGATTGGGGGTGGGGGGAGTGGGAAGTTTCTTTCACTAACTGGCATATCTGTAAATTTTAATTTTAGTGAGTTGCCAGGAGCTCCAAGAGTTAAAGTGATTTGCCCATCTTGACAAGCTAGTATGTGTTAATAACAGGACTTAAACCCAGGTCCTTCTGACTCCAAAGCTGGACGCTGATCCATAAACCCATGCTGCCTCTCCTACTGTGATTATGGGCCATCATTTTACAAGTTCAAACCCACATAAGCCATAAGTAAAATACACAGATTCCAAATCCTTTTTTAAGTTCAAAGAAAATGCCAGTAGAGCCAATTGGGAAAACTTGGAGATAATATTTTAATTGTTCTCCAGATATGTAGCCTACACCAGCTGCTAGATATAAAGATACTCTCTGGTAGCTAAAGGCAGAACTCCATGTCCAAAAAGGGCAGAGACCAACCACTCTTCAGCTATGATGTAGAACTGCTCTGAGTGAGAAATCCTAAGATTCCTGGCAAAGAAGAGACGTAGTCTTTCAAATATGCAGAATTTGCACAAAGATGCAGCTTTCAACAATTGGTCTTAATTAATAAAATCCCCACAGTAACTCTGCCTGCATTAGCAATGCATCTTCATGAGGGCTTAAAAAACTCTCCATTTTCTAAAGAGATAATAGGAATAAACTTATCACAGTAGAGCACCGTGATTTTCATTCTGAGAAAACAAAGTATTCATTACTCAGGATTGTCATTAATGCAAAGATTTAGTAACAGTAAAACATTACCAAAGTAGTAGATTTTTGACTCTCATGGTTATCCCCCTAAAACATGCAATCCAATTGCTTCACCTAGAATTCTAAAAGATCAATCAACAAGCACTTATTAAGCACCTACTGTATTGGCAGGCACTAGGGATTAAAAAGAAAGGCCAAAAGTTCTTTTGCTCAAGGAGCTTTCTTTCTTTGTAGTGGGGGCAACATACAAGATACACAGAGGAGATAGAAGTTAGCAGCTGAGAGGACAGGGAAAGGTGGTGCTGTTGAGAAGGTGGTGCCTGCATCTTAAAGGAAGCCAGGGATTCTGAAGTGGAGGTGAAAGAGGAGCAACCAATGTAAAGGCACAGAGATACAGCATGTGAGGAACAGCAAGGAGTACAGTATGGACTGATTCTTAGAGTGTGTGGAGAGAGGAAGATTAGAAGAAGATGGCAAAGGTAGGAAGGGCCAGGTTATGAAAAGCTTTAAATGACAAAGGATTTATATTTGATCCTGCAGATAAAAGGGAGTCACTGGAGTTTATGGAGTAGAGGAATGACAATTAAGGATATCTGCCATGCAAATCTAAAACAAATTTGTGGGGCAAATTTCCAAATTCACAGGGAAATCCTCAAAGGAAAACTGGTGGTCTTTGTGGAACTTTATTGGTAATATTCTTGGCAGTTTCCTAGTCAGTTTAGAGCATGTTACTTTATACCAAACCTTTTCTCAGAAGAGCCTTTTACATGATTCTGACCACTATATTTCTTTCTTGCCTTTATGGCTCATCTTCATAGCACCTAGGTTTCCTCTTACTTAACAGTAAAACATTACCATTTTTTCCAACACCATTCTTAAATCACTTTCAATCTGGTCCTATTTCATTAAAGTTACTCATGATCAATAACAACCTCTCCTTAACCACGTCCTGTGACCTTTACTCCACTCTCATCCCTTCTGATCTCTCCACTTTCATCACTTTTTCTATTTTTCTGAGTGCTCTGTCACCTTTGACAACTCCTCTAACAACTCCTCCCCCAAATTAGGGGCTTACCTTCTGCTTTTTTCCCCCTTTGTCATGGGTTCTTAATCTAGGGTCTGTGAACTTGTTTTTTTTACAAAATATTTTGATAACTATTTCAATATACTTTGCTTTCTTTGTAATAATTTGTATTTTATTTTGTGTATTTAAAAGCATTGTTTGAAGAAGGGGTCCATATAGGCTTCACCACATTGCCAAAGAGCTCCATGACACAAAGAATCCCTGTTCTATGTTCACTTCCTCAGGCATTTAATCTCTTTCTCTCATGGATTTCCAACCAAGAACTTCTAACTTCCTCCTCCTCAGTTGCCTACATGACCCTCACATTACTAAAACGTACCATTGACACTTAAAACTGTTACCTTACAAACCTTACAAAGAGCCCTTCTAAACTTTCCCTCTTACTATTCTGTCAACAGGCCTCCACCTTCCTAGGTTGATAGCTGGGAAATCTGAATTTGACTCCTCTCTTCCCTTCATCCCCTATACTTTGTCAGCAAGTCCTGCTATTCTTTTTTCAAATATGTTTCTAAGATTAATCCCTTCCTCTCCATTTCCACAAAAACCACTGCAGGTCAGTCACTGTTTCCTATTTAAATCCCTACAGGGGTTGGGCTAGATCAGAGGTTTTGTTAACATGCAGCCTCTCCCACCTCCCACCAAGTGCTTCCAAACCAGATTAAAATGCAACTGGGAAATATTTAACAAAATAAATAAAAATAAATAAGTAATAAAATAAAACATAGATAATATTACATTTTAAAACTAAGTCAATATGTGACCTGTCTGGTTGAGTGGCCCTGTTTCATCACTGGCCTAGATGACAGCAGGTTTCTGGACCTCTAGTCTGTTGTAGCTCCAGTGTATACCATATGCAGCTTCTGCTAATATCAGTTTCATGTTAGGTTGTTATTCGGTCACTCAGGTGTGTCTGACTCTTCATGACCCTTTGGACCACAGCATGCCAACACTGTCTAGGGGATTTTCTTGGCAAAGAAACTGAAGTGGTTTGCCATTTCCTTCTACATTGATAAGGTAAAACAAAGGTTAAATCACTCGCCCAGATTCATACAGCTAGTAAGTATCTAAATCCATATTTGAACTCAGGTCTTTCTGACTCCAGGCCCAGTGCTCTCTATCCAATGAATCACTTCGATGCCTCCATTTTCGTGTTATAGCTCTGGGCAAAACTCTACAGAGGTACCCCAATTACTTTTAGAAATAATAACAAGGCCACTTCAAATTTGTATAGCATATAATTTTAAAGTATTTCAATACATCTCATTTTGGGGGTCTGAACAACTCTGTGATGTAGGTAATAATGATAATAGTAAGAGTTGATATTTATAAAGCACTAAAAGACTGGAAAAACACTTTCACAACAATCTAGGGAGTTAAATCCTGCTGCAGGTTTCACTATCCTCACTTTCACAGATGTGGAAATGGAAGCTCTGAGTCTGTTAAGCAATTTACAGCTATGAAGGGTCGGAGGAAGGATTCAAACCCAGGTCTCTGCCTCTAGGTCAGGCTTTCTTTCCACCATGATCACTATTACCATTTTATAAAGGAAGTAACAGGCACACAGACAGAAGTGAAATGACTCGCTTAGGATCACACTGCTAGTCAGTGAGAGCTGGGCTCAGAGTTTCCATTGCTACAGACTTGGCATCCAGCTTTGCTAGGACACGAAGTCCAAATTTCTCAGTTGAGCGCTGAAGGAGCTCTGTCCACATGCTGTCTTATACTCTGGAATTTCCTTTCTTTTTATTCTCTAACATAGTCCCCTGCTTTAGTCAAGCCAGTCTCTTTGCGGTTCCCTGCAAACAACTTTGTCCACATCTGTGCACAAACTACTCTTCTCTGCCAACGAAGAGCCTCCACCACCTTCAGGACCAGGGTTAAAACACACTTTCCCCTACAACGAGGTTCCTGCGCCCAACCCACCAAATCCGGACCTTAGTCAGTGTATTCTTGGTACTTTTATGTTCATTTAGTTTGCAGCATGTTCCACTGTACTCAATGGGCTGCTCTGCAGACACACTCAAGTTATCTTGGATGTCTTTGTTTTGTTTTCCCTAACCTGTTATGAGACAACTTTATGTCCTATGTCCTTGTTTTGCCACAAAAGTATCATAGACTTCAACATGGAAGGGAATTCAGAAGTCATCTATAGCAACTCTCTCATGCTTCAGATGAGGAAACTGAGGAGGGAGTGGTGGCCTGGTTGGGATTTGAACTCTGGTTCTCTAACTCCCTCCATTGAATCACATTCTCTTCTATTCTGGATGAACACAAGCTCCTGAGCCTATTACAGTAACATGGGGCCAATTCTTAAAGGCCTGTCCCTCCTCCCTCCAGGCTCAGCTCCCCTGACCCCTGATGCTAGTGGGCCTCCACTCCCAATACCTCATATCTATTTTGCATATTCCTCTACAGGAATATTTCTCCTATTTCAAGCTCCTCAAAGTTAGGGAACGGCTTTTTCACTTTTGTTTTTTTATCTTTGACACCTGGCACATAGTAGGTGCCTCAGAAATGCTTGCTCACATATACAACCTATTATCAAACTGCTTACTGTCCTAAGTAGGGTGGAGGGATGGAAGGGAAGAGAGGGAGGGAGAAAATATGGAAATCACAATTTTATTTATAAAAAAAATTATCTTTATATATATTTGGAAAAAATAAAATATTATATTAAAAATAAAAGGAATGCTTGCTTGCTTGAAAGAACGTTGGAAAAGGTAGCAGGAGACAGGGCTCTGGTGTAAACTTTATCATTAACTAGTTGCTAACCTTTGCTCAGTCACAATTTCTGTAGACCTCAATTTTCTCATCTGTAAAATGAGGGGATTAGATTAGATGATTTGGGGTTTTCCAGCTCTAGCATTTTATAACTCTATGACATGAATTTTGAATCAAGTCTTTAAGGTGGTCATGGGCATAGTCTGGCCAGAAGAAGCAATAGGGAACATTCCCCTAGCAGGGTGAATCTAAGTTGGGAAGTGGAAATCTATATTCCTTGGTGGAAGGAGGCTGTGGTTTGTTTGGGTCTGAGGAACCAAGGTACAGAATAACCAACTAATTGGATCCTAGTCACTTACCCCATCTGTCCTGCCTAAAATTATCTGCTGGGTGCCCTCCTGGGAAGTGTGAGAGCATCACTGATACCTGGGCCCTCTTGCTCATTCTACTCAGGGGCCTATCAATATTCAGTGTCTCCACTTCTTACTTTAGAGACCAGCAAGGTCTCTTAACTTGTTTTAAAAAAAATTTCGATAACTGTATTTCAGTATATTTAGTGAATTTAAAAACATTCTAAGCAGGGGTTCATGGACTTCACCATACTGCCTGTCAAAGAGGTTTCAGATACAAAAAACTGCCTGGACCATGGGCAACCCCCGCCCTCCCCCTCCCCCCAACCTAGTTACTTACAAAGATCCTTACCTGGTTTGATGAATATAAATTCAATTTAAGAAATGCTTATGAAACACATACTATGAGAAAGGCACTATGTTAAACAAGGCATACAAGATGAAAAATGACAGTCCCTGTCCTAAAGGGGGCATGTTCAGTTGATCCTTGTTTGCTTCCCTTGCCACATGTAATACTCCAGCTAAGAGAAGAGGAACTTGCTAGAAAACAATTGCTATTCATTCTATGAATATGAAAAAAAAGTTACATGAAAGCACTATCAGTCAACATAAAAACAGAAAAATCCCATTAATCAAAGTCTCCATTTAGTGAAAATCTGTGAAATTACAGAAAGGGTCCAGGTTAAAATTTATCTTTTCATTATCTACAAAGAAAGAGTTTGCTAATCAAATCCTCAGTGTAAAGAAGACTGCAGGCAAAATGCCAACTAAACAACCATACCATTAGCATTTCAAAAACATCTCTTGGCATGTATCTGGATTCTTACCAGTTTGTTAAATGAAGTAACTAGGTTCCTTATCATCCCTAGGGCCAACATTTTCAAAGTTAATTGTTATTATCAACTTAATAGTCAGCAATCAAATAAACATATAAATCAAGGGGGACAATTTTTACTTCAAACCTCTTGATTTTCACAAGGCACAACCAAACAAATCAACAGATAACAAACCAGCAAATCCGGGCAAAGTCTAAGGGACAAGGTGACAATCTTTTGACAGCGTATGCAACATATCAAACCTGTTGTTCTACCTCCCTTTTAGAGGGGGAAGTACAATTAAACTGAGTTCAGTTGCCATTTATTGTTGCTTTCATTTACATTACTGGAGTTATAATGTACAGTTTTTGCATGAGGAAAATCAAAGGAGGTAGAATAAGAGAAACCACAAAGTAGAAGAATACAGAGGTCTCATATTCAAAATGTATATAGACTTGACACAAATGTATAAGACCAAGAGCCATTCCCCAACAGGTAAGAATACAGAGTACAAATAAGTTCTCAAAAGAATTGCAAGCTATTGAAGACCATTTGGAACAAGCTCCAAATCACTAATAATAAGAGAAATTCAAGTTAAAACAATTTGCCTCATACTTGAAAATTGGCAAATCTGATAAAAATTCTTCCTAATTTGGCCTGACCCTCACCCCGCTTTTCCTGTCTTCTTACATCTCACTCCCCTCTGAATACTCTGTGATCCAGTGACACAGGCCTCCATGCTGTTCCGTGCACAAGAAACTCTAATCTCCTGACTGTGGGCTGGCTGTCCCCTGTGCCTGGAATGCTTTTCCTCCTCATCTTTACCTCCTAGCTTCCCTGGCCTCCTTCAAGTCTCAGCTAAAGTGTAACCTTTTGCAAGAAACCATTCCCAGCCCTCCTTAATGTTAGTGCCTTCTCTCTGAGATTATTCTACAATTTATCCTGCATATTGTTTAGACATAGTGAATTGCAAGTTGTCTTCTCCATTAGACTGTCAGCTTCTTGAGAGCGGGAACGTTTTTTGTCTTCCTTTGTAACCCTAGTGCTTAGCAGCATAGTACCTGCCACATGGCAAGTGCTTAATAAATGCTTGATGACTTAACTCAACTTGACTAGCAAGTTGTAAGCAAGTAAGCAGAGCTGTGAATTAAGCCAAACATCCTTTTTTTTCTTCTGCTTTTTGGTGAGGTAATTGGGGTTAAGTGACTTGTCCAGGGTCACACAGCTAGTAAGAGTCAAGTGTCTGAGGCCGCATTTGAACTCAGGCCCTCCTGACTCCAAGGCCAGAGCTCTATCCACTGTGCCACCTAGCTGCCCTTAAGCCAACCACTCTTAATAACAACTGGCATTCATGTAAGAAAAGTGACTTTGATCTAACAATCCTATTAAATGGCATTTGTCACAAGAAAGTAAAAGACATAAATCAAGTTCCATTATATACTAAAATATTCATGCCTTTTGTGGTAGCAAAGAATTGGGGGAAAATGAATATCTCTTGATTAGGGAATGGCTAAACAAATGATATATCTAGAGAACTCAGAGAAACACAGAAAGATCTGTACGAACTGATACAGGGTAAAAGCAGAACCAGAAAAGCTGTTACACAATGACTATAACAATGTAAATTAAAAAAGATCTCTAAAAAAGTTGAAATCAATAGCTAAAAAACCACAAAACCACAAACAAAAAAAAAAACCCAATGCCAATAATGGTTCTCTGGGAACAGATAATGAATAAATTTCACTCCCGTAAGAAGAGAAAGGGACTTTGAGAGCAGAATGTTGCATCCATTCTCATACACAGTAACTTTTAATCATTGTGACTTAACTTTTTCTTTGTTACAAGAATAGTTCAGTTCAGGGAGCAGGGGAGATACATAGAAATGACAGTGATATAAAGCCAAAAGGTATCCATCAACATATTATTATTTTTTAAAAGAATAGGTCATATCTGACAAACTCATTTGCTTTTTTGACAAGGTTACTAAACTAGTACCTTAAGAGAAAGCTGTAGAGTTTACCTAGATTTTAATAGCACCTTTCACAAAATCTCTCATGCCACTCTTGTGAAAGGCAGCGAGATGTAGGCTAGATGACAGTAAAATTAGATGGATTGGAACTGGTTGAATGGCCTGATTTGAAGAGTGGCCATCAATGGTTAGATTTCAACCTGAAATGTGGAATGCCCCAGGGATCTGTGCTACTTAACATTTTCATCAATGACTTGGATAAGGCACAGATAGTACGTTTACTAAATGAGCAGGTGACACAAAGTTGTCAAGGATAACTTACAGCAGATAGCAGTAACGATCCAAATAAAATGACAGGCTACAAAACTTTGAAACTTCAAAGTGGGAGGTGGTACCCCCATTGGGCCATGGCATGACCCAAAGAGTAACCAAGTAGAGGATGGGAAGATGAGTGGCATCTTGTCCTCCTTGCTATAGCTTATTACAAGGCTTGTCTTCAATACAACTCTACTACCTCCCCATCACCCATTATGTGACCCCTCCACCCAACTTTTAACCCCCTTAGCCCTCAAATAGCTGGCTTCCTGTGGCTGTGCTCTCCCACCTCTAAGCTTTCCCATTTTTGCTGATCATCCTCCTAATCTAAGCCACCCAAATTCATAACTTCATTAACTCTCCCCTTACCTCCCACATACACTCAATTGCCAAGTCCCATTGATTCTACTTTCATAGGAACTCTTCTACTCTTTTCTAATGATGTTGCTTATGCTCTAGCTCAGGTCCTCATTACTTCTTACCTAAACTATGCATTCAACTATTTGGAAGTACAACCTGGCTCTAACCCACCTTACTAGGCTTATTTTATATTACTCCCTCTCTCACATACATGGTACTTTCCAGCAAAACTAGATTTCCTAGATCTCCATCTTTTGCCCTACCCCCCTTATGTAATCCCACAAGGTGTATTTTCAATCCATGGAATGCATTTCCCTTTCTCATCTCCACCCCCAGAATCCTCATTTCTTTTCAAGTCTCCTCTTCAATGCCTTCTCCTCCTGTGAAGTCTACTAAGTTGTATCCCTCCAGTGGAATATAACAGGCAGTTTTCGTGCTCCTCTCCATATATCCATTACCTAGTACACACACAAAGTCCCTTGCAGAGAGCAGGCATTTAAAAAATGCTTGTTAAGTTGAAATTAAACAAAATTGAAATTACTGTACATACCCTCGGACAATGCCATTCTCCAAATAGTTGACTTGAATGAATTTCCCAAAACGGCTTGAATTGTTGTTGTGGGCTGTTTTGGCATTTCCAAATGCCTACAATGGAAATAAAAGGAAGTTTTCAAATGATGAAATTCAAAATATTACATGCTTTTAAAAGCATATTTTTCATCATGCAAAACTTGAGATCTAAGTATTTAGAAGCTGTGAAATACATTATGAAAATATAAGCTTGTGGAAGATTATCATTCAGAAACATCAAAGCTCTGCAATTTTTCCAACAAGGAAACTCAGGCCTAGAAAGGTTAAACAAAGGTCACACTGCTTAGCTAAGTGGTAGAGTTGGGACTGGAATTCAAGACTCTAGTCATACCTGAGCAAGAACCGTGTAAAACAGAATAACATGCTAAGAGCTACTAGAGGTCTCTATAATGTCTCTCACAGATTTACAGTGGCCCTAATGACTGGAGGTATAATTATACTATTCTGAATCAATCAGTATTTATTAGCTATGTGCTAGAGGATACAAAGAGAAAAAAATTAAACAGTCCCTGTTCTCAAAGTGCTTACAACCTACTGGGGGAGACAAAAATAAGTATTTGCAGAATATGTACAAAAGGGATTACAAGATCCTGCAGGCACTAACACGTATGGATGGATATTCAGGAAAGACTTTGTGTGGCAGAACTATTGTGAAGGAACTGGGCAACTGAATGAGGCAGAGACAGGAAAGGAATACATGCCAAGTATGGGAGACAATTCAGTACAAAGGCATGGAGTTGGGAGATGGGGGGCTGTGTTTGAGGAACAGAGAGGGGGACAGCACGGATGCACAGTAGAACATGGAAAAGGTTGCAAAGATAATTTGAGGCCTGATTATGAAAGGCTTTAAAAAACTGAAAGAGAGGAGTTCATTTGATCCTAGAGGCAAATAAGAGCAGCTGGTTTACTAAGTAGGGGACTGACATGGTCAGACCTACATTTTAGGAAAATTACTCTGGTAGTGGTATGGAGGATAGAGTGGAATGGAGAAGAAATTAAGGTAAAGACACCAGTTAGGAGATCACTGTAATAGTCCAGGCAACAGGTGATGAGGGCTTGAATAAAAGCCTGGGGCCTGTGTGAGTAATGCTAAGGAGTCACATGAAGAAGGTACTGTGGAGATAGAAATGGTAGGATTTGGGAACTGATTCTCTATATGGGGTAAGGGCAGAGTAAAGTGTTGAGGATGAGGTTGAGGCTGTGAACTGGGAAGCTGTTGGGGAGAGGGTGGAGATGAGTTCTGTCTTGGATATGCCGAGTTTGAGGTTTATGGAACATTCAGTTTGAAAAGTCTACAAGACCGTTGGTGATGTGGGACTGGAGGTCAGGAGAGAGACTAGGGTTAGATATATAGAGGCAGGAGTCATCTGGATAAATTATGAAACCCAGGAAGGCTGACATGATCACCAAGAAGAGAGCATAAAAAAGAATGACCAGGAAAGAGTCTTGAGGTACGCTTACAGTTAAAGGCTGTGATATGGAAGACATAATTTGGAGATCAATTCCCACATGTATTTTGGGAGTAGAAGTCAAATATAATAGGAGTTGGAGCTCAAGAGGCAGTAGCAGAACCAGTCTGTTTATAGCCAGGACAAACCACTCTAAAGAAGAGTTTTTGGAAACTCTGGTTAAATGTTTTAATGATCAATTACCAAGATATAGTAAAAAAGATATTAGTTGTGATGCTAAACAGGGATTGCTCATATTTATTCTGTTCTTTTAAACAAAAAAAAAAAAGGAAACAGAGGAGCTGTGAGAGGCTGAAGGAATAAAATATTTAACAATTTCCAAAATGTTCTAGAATACCTAACTAGGTCAAAAAGAATGAATACATTGTGTGGAGAAGTTTCCCCTGAAGGCAAAGCAAGCAGCATCAGAAAGCAGATCACTGTCTGGAAGCATCTTCATAATAGGAAGTCTTCTTCAGTCATCAAGAAGTGACTGTTTTATCAGGGTCACAAGACAGATCAACTTCCTGTTCCAAAAATAAGTGCTATGTCTGCACAAGAACACTTAAAACCACAGTCTAAGCTGTATTCAAGTAGACTGAAATAAAATGAATCTTCTTAACGAAACTGACTTTTAAAACTTAAATTGAGAGCAAACCGTTAAAGCTAAAAGTAATAATGAAGAAGGGGTGCTAGAAAAAATTATTTTACATCTTGGGGAATTACACTGGAATGTTTTCTGTGTTGTAGGGATTTCTGGATCTTTCCTAAAGCCATCAACAAAATCCCAGGTGCCTAATATTTTTTTACTTTGTGGAAAGGTACTAAAGGACTCAGCTTTTCTGTCAAAAGGCAGTTTGCCCAAGTAAAAAAATGAGAAGGAAAAACAACTTTTATGTCCTTTTCACAATAAAGACACCAATTCAATACTGAATCTTCCTTCTGTAATCTCTAAGGCAGGGGATCTTAACTTTTTTCTGTCACAGACCCTTTTGGCAATCTGATGAAGCCTATGGACCCCTTCTCAGAATAAGGTTTTTAAATACATAAGATAAAACCCATGATTACGAAGGAAACCAAGTATACTGAAATAAATTTATTACTATGCTTTAAAAAAAGAAAAGCAAGTTCACAGACTCCAGATTAAGAGCCCATTGCTCTAAGGAAAGTGGCAGCCCAAGCTTTGCTTTTTCTTTTCTTTTTTTTCTTTTTTTTTTTTGGGTGGGTGGGTGGGGTGGTGGTAATACACAGACATATTCTTCTAGTATTACCTGTGACACCCTGGGCAAATCAATTTCATAGACTCACAGAAAGTTAGAATGGTTTCCTACCTTTAAGATCACAAGGTTATAGATGAAGAGTTGGAAGGTGTCCCTCATTTACAGATGAGGAAACTGAGGCTCAAAAAGACAAAGTGTCCAGGTCCTCTGATACCAAATCTAGTATGAGGCGGGCACATGGGTAATACTGAGTGCAGGGTGGTGAGCTTGTGATGTGAGCCTTGATTTTTCCTGTACTATCTACCTCGTTGGGAGCTGTACCCCTGTCCTCCTCCTGTTTTTCATTGCTTCATTTGGTATGTCTTTCTGTTTTCAGGTGGCGGGAGTGGCCATGCTGGAGACAGCAGGAAACAGACAACTCTTCATGGAGTCACCTTACATATGGAATCTGCTTATGAACTTAGGTCGAGTCTTAGAGAAAAAAGCGACACTCTTGTTTCTCAATGCGCAAGATTCTTAGCCCAACCACCTCATTTTAGAACTGAAAAAACCAAAGCTCAGAGAGATGAGTGCCATGCTAACAGTCACACCATACACAAGAGCTCTTAAGGTTTCCAGTTTAGGGCTCTTTTCAGCCTGTCAGCCCACAATGATGCTCCCTATTAGGCTACTGCCCCTCTTGAGCTTCACTAAAATGCTGATGTTGATGATCTTAAAGTCCTCTCTCAAATGATCAAATTTGATTTCTATTTTCTACAATACTCCCAAGATCTTTAGATGATGTGAAATAATCCTATCTTAATTTCTTAAATTATTCAGATCCATTTAATAGGGGTTCTTAACCTGAGTCTGAACTTTACAAAATTTTTTTTGGGTAACTTTTTAAATAGAATTGGTTTCCTTTGTAATACGCCTTTTATTTTATGCATTTAAAAACCTTATTCTGAAAATGGGTTCATGACAAAAGGTGAAGAATCTCTTCCCTCTCTAACATGTCAAACACATGCAATAGTTGTGCCTAAGTATTGTTTTGGGTCTTTCTTACCCCAGTGATGTGGCAGAACGGTGCAATGGAGAACAGGGCTCAGGAAAGCCTGGGTTTGAAACCTGACTCAGATTCATACAAGTTGTGTGACCATGGAGAAGTTACTTACTTTTCACAACTTCGTTTTCTGACTCTGTAAAATCATAATACCTGTAGCACTTACCTCAGAAAAATGTGAGGATCAGGTAAGAGACCTGGGGCTTTAACTTTAAAGCACCATATAAATGCCAGCTATCTATTCCTGGAAAAGGTCAAGTCCTTGATAAAGCATGAATTCCTTGCTTAGCTTTGGGTACTTGATGCACCATTAATGCCACACAGATATAGGCTAAGCCAATTGGTTTTAAGTCTGGCCCTCACATAGTGAGGTCTGCCTCCCTTCCTCCTCCCTTCTACCCCTGGAACATTTGCACGAGGCTACTCAGGCTACCAAAGGGTCAAATGTCCAGGTTGGGAATGACCAAATCAAAGCTCATGAGAAATTGGTAGTTAAGATTGAGTCTGAGTGGCCACTGAACTTCTAACTTGGGTGAAATAGGAAGACTCACAAAAGAGAGAGAGAGAGACAGGCTGCCAAGAGAAGACATAATAAGAACTTGGGAGACCTAAAGAAAAGCTGGATGGATGAAAGGAATTGGTTCCTTTCAGAGATCCCAGGATCCCAGGGAAGCACACAAACCCAGAACTGGCATCAGATAAAAGGCAGGCGGAGGAGTGAAAAGTCCCCTCCTGGACTTGGTAGGGGCATTCCTGGACATATCAGAAGCAGAAGTTAAAAAGAGGAGTAACGAGAGCTGTGACATGGAAAGACTGATCAGGACTTTACCCTTTTTGCTGGTTCTTTGAGCTATGGGCCAGTGCAAGCTTGGAAAAAGGGCTCTGACTATCGGTGAAGTGTGTGTGGTGGGGTTGGGGAATGGACATTCTGGGTAGAGAGATGGAAAGTTATGATTGCCTAGCAAGTCTTTTTTTTTTTTAAATTTTGTTGTTGAATTAAAATTTATTCTGTAATTTCAAGTCTTGTTAGCTTGAAAGATTACACAGAAACTGTGAGGGCTCTTACCTTTTTTGTGGAGGGAAGGAGGAAGGGAATAAGCATTTATATAGAACTTACTATGTGCCAGGCACTGTTAAGCCCTTGACAAATATTATCTCATTTGATGCTCACAACAACCATGGGAGGTAGATGTTATTATTATCCCCATTTTACAGCTGAAGAAACTGAGGAAGACCTAGGTTTAATGACTTGCCCAGGATAATACACCTAGTAAATGTCTGAGGCCGGAGCTGAACTCATGTCTTCCTGACTCCAGACCCAGTGCTCTATCCAATCCACTGTGC